TTATAAACACATTTTGTAAAATACTGTACATGATTCACCGGGTGCAGCGATGGCCCCTGATGACGAGGTTCACATATTATGTAGCTCTAATTTGTATTTGCGATAATCTTCCCTATCTGATTCCTGCATTAACCAATCTTAGCTTGATTTAAGCATCACCGTATGTGTATATATGACATAGTCTGTGTTCTATAATGATGTTGGTTGTGGAACCAGCCTTCTATATGACTGCTATGCACATCAGTAATGACTAACATGAAAGAAAGTGAAGAATAACGTTTTTTGAGAGCTACTCCCTGGCTAGACAGTTCACAAAGTACTGTATTAACATTGCTCTAACTGACCCTCAGAAACCTCTGAAATGGAAGCTATGATTCCTACAGGAGGTATCACATGGAACGAAACTTGCAGCTTGCACGTATTTGAAGGTGGTGCTTGATTCCTGCTGCTTCCTGAAGCCCTTCTGAAAAGACAGCCAGTATCCTGGGTGCTTAGAAAACCCTCTGTACCATTTACTAACCCAAATAATGAGGCCTGTAAAAAGTCCCTGAGCTATCATCTCAAAAGTCAAAATTATTAATGAACAAAACCACAAAAGTCACAAGAACTCTGGAGAACGTTTGGACTACGCTCAGTCAGGTAATTTACCTCCTCACACTGTTTTGCTTCTCTAGCCGATGATACTTGTGTCCCTTGTAGTGACAAACGGGTTTTGAAATATTTCTTTCCCGAACAAACAGAATTTAGGAAACAGCCTGATATTTATATATTTAAATCAGGCAGGCTCGTGGCTAAGGGGATGCTGGCAGCTCTGACATGCTCAGAGTGTTTCACTGAGCACCTCACGGCACAGGGATCTCATGAGAGCGACTGCTCCTCACAGTGGTTTGGACTAAACTCTCCCTGAGCAGGGTGACACTCTCCCGAGATTTTAGTAGTTCTGAGAGGCATCCCTGGACTGTGTGCTCCGTAAGTGTAGTCCTTAGCCTTTCATACATCCTATGAAGTATAGATTCGGTTGAAATCGTGGCGAGGAAGACAGTGCACTGACAAAGTCACCAATTACAACCTGCACGTCAGAGGCAGCACCGAGGACATGGAAAAGCTCCTCAGGAGAGAACTGATAACAGCTCCCCTGTTGTCTTTGGTCAAATCCATGTAGTCAAGTCCTAATGCTGTCTGCTCATGTCAGAAAACATACATGTGGGTCCTGTGTCTAGTATTTAGTTTACAGATTCATGGCATAATGAAATACATCTTTGGCTAAAGATTTGCTCTCCTAACTTCCCCCCAAAATCTTTATTCAAATTTTAGAATGAAAGGCCAACACATATGAATAATATAAACAAGAACAGACTACCATTTGGTAACTAGACTCATCCTGAAGTCCAGGGAAATAAGGACTTTCCTGTCTGGTTGGGTCTGCCCTACCTGCAAGTAGCCAGTGGACAGTTTCACCTTTTAGTTTTTATAGCCAATTCTGCTGCCTGCATTATGATGCAAAAAATGTTGCAATTCCATCAGTGTCCTGAGAGATGCCACATCATTCCCAGTAAATGCTAAGTCCTCAGTTATCCAGTCTGTTCTGAGATGGTCCACAGTTATCCATCCCTTCAAAGTATGTTCTTTTTTAATTTTACACATTTTCAATGCATACTTGGGTATAATGGGACTCTTCTTACAGACTTAAGTTGGATGCTTTAGAAATGTCAATGTTCATCAATTTTCCAGGACGTCTTTAGTTAATAACAAATATGAAAATCATTGAGACAATCCTCTAAGCGTAGATAACTTGATATTTTATGCAAATGATAATACCTAGTGTTGCTTTCTTTCTGTTGTCATACTACTGCTGTCACTCTGGCTCAGGAAGAAGACTTATTCATGAGTTACCATGTCGAAACCATAGAAGTTAGACTCAGTGTGTTTGGAAGGTTGTGGTGGTTACATTCCTCTCAAACATCCCTATACCTACACCTCACTGACTCTATGAGACATCTATGGCTAGAGCCAGGCACAGTGGCATACACTTTTAACCCCAGCACTCCAGAGAAGGAGGATGTGGGGGCAGGGAGATCGCCAGTGTGACCAAAGCCAGCCTGGTCTGTCTACATAGTGAATTCAAATCCAGCTGGGGCTACATGAAGACCCTGCCTTAATGGCACATGCCTTTAATCCCAGCACTCGGGAGGCAGAGGCAGGTGAATCTCTGTGAGTTCAAGGCCAGCCTGGTCTACATAGTGAGTTCCAGGACAGCTGGGGCTACAGGGAGACCCTGTCTCAAAAAGACCAAAAAAAAAAAAAAAGAAAAAATCACCTATGGTATACCAAGTCTTGTCTGAAAATTGACTTTAGTGAAATGTCTCTATCAAACAGATGGATATCTTTTACCCATTACCCCTCAGTGGTTTAGCAGAAGTCTAAAATTCATGATGAAACTTGTACTTTATAATATTCAGTTGTTATTCATTGATAAATTTGCCCCTTGACAAATTACCATCCTCTCTGTTAAAAATATGCATAAGTTGTTGGGAAAGAAATTAGGTAAGAAGCAGAGTATACTTAGATGTTTTGGAAAACAAATAACAAATATGCACAGACCTCAGCAACTCCTCCACCTTTGAAGGAAAAAAATCTGAATTCCACCAGAGAGGGGGAGTTTGTATGCACTCAAGACGTCACAGAGGGGTTGATAACATGAGTATTGGCATGGAATTCTGTTATAGCCTGAAATACTTCCAACATCACAGTTAGAGGGAGTTGCAAGATTAAAATTTTAAAAAAATGTATCAAGAATTAAAAAACAGACTAAGCACTTTTTTCTGAGCTCTGGCAAGTTTGTCTGTGGTTATTGATTTCTTGAATGCTGGCTCCTCTGCAGAGTAACCCAGAGCGTCTTATCTTAGAAATGGGGGGGATTCAACAGATGAATGCAAAGATGGTTTTAATGAAATTCAAAGTACCAAGAAAGCAAGGAAAGAGTTTTGTAAAAGAAAAACAGGAGATGGTACTTGACAGTAGGTAAAAAATGAAGACCAACCTGTGTTCTCCCCAAGTTTGGTGTTCTAGCAACAAGCACGCTTTGCATCCTGTCTTTTTGCCCATTTTCCATCTTGTAGGTCTTCCTTGCTTCCTTCCCTGATCCACAAACTCTCTCTGTGGCAAGAGGGACTGGTAATCTCATGGACTTTTTTTTTTGTTTTAGTTTGTTTTTTTTCCAAAGTCTCTTTGTAGTCTCAGCTGGCATGGAAGTCACTATGTAGACCAGGCTAGCCTCAATCTCAGAGATCCCCTTTCCTCTGTCTTCCCAGTGTTGGGATTAAAGGTGTGTGATCCATGTCCTGCCCAAAGGTTTGGTTCAGGCTGGCCTCAAACTCATGATCCTCCTGCCTCCACGTCTTCCACCTACCCTACTGGCAGGCACCACAACTGGCCCCATGGACTTTTAATGAGTTCCAGTTGTGACGTCAGAAAACATTCCAGGTTGCTTGGAGGCAGCTGAAAGCTTGAACTTCCCTCAGTCATGTGTCTCTGTGCTCAGTACATGAAGTACTAGGGGGTGGAGCTGTGAGTTTGGGTGTTGTAATTAGGGATCTTATGGAGAATGTGAGAATGAACAGGTTGGTGGTTAATAGAGAAAATACCTCTTGGGATTGAAAAAAAGGAAGACTGACATCCACTTCTCAGGCCCGTTAGTTCTAATGACTTTCACATTTTGATCTATTCTGTATCTACATGATTGGGAGGAAAAGAAAATTGACAGAGACCTGGGGAGAATCAGCAGGGATCCAGTTATTGCTGTGGAGTGAGTGGTCATAATGCACAAGATTCCTCTGTATCTGCTGGAAGAAAAACTACTTTGTGCCACTTAATGCTTAGTAATAATGGGACAAGAAACAGGCTGGGAAGTAGACCACGGATGGCAGAGCTGAGGGGTGGATAGTGGACTCTAGCTAGAAGTCTCCTGATAAAGTGACTGTTCCTTAAGGTGTACTGGTTGGAGATTGTCTAAGGAACTCAGTATGTCCCATGAGAGGGGTACCTGTTACTAAGAGGGAATTCCATCTGAGAGTTTTTGAACAAGCTCATAAAACTATGGTATGAGAATTTTCCAGCTCTTCTAATCCTCCACCTGATTTTGACAGTGCCACGTTGGTGTAAATCCAGAAGAAAGATGGTAAGGAAACAAACACTGTAAGAACTGACCAGCTGTACCTTCCCCACCTTGTGACTTGAACCATCAGAGGATAAGGGAGAGGTACTAATCCACGTTGGTGTAAATCCAGAAGAAAGACGGTAAGGAAACACTGTAAGAACTGACCAGCAGCACCTTCCCCACCTTGTGACTTGAACCATCAGAGGATAAGGGAGAGGTACTAAATAATAGGCGTGAAGATGAAGTTGGAAGTAAGCCAGAGAAACCTTGTTAGTCCCAGATGAACAACACGAGGGTGGGTCTAAGACAGTTCTAAGGAGACAGGCGTGCAGAAGAACATGGTTGAAGACAGCCCTTCCAGACATCTAGAGCCATTGATTAGATATAGCATTTTCTTGACTGAAAATTCCATGAATCTTAGAGATAGTATTGTGCATATCGCTATATTTTTTGTCATTGTTCTGTGAACATTGGCTCGTGGTAAGTGGCTGACTTTGAAAAAGTATCACAATTTCCATGTACAAGCATAATCTCACTCCTTGATTCTAGTCACTTGACCCAGGTTAACTTACTATAATGTTAATGCAAGTTGTGTCGAGTCTTATTGTAAGAAAAACGTTATTTGCGACAATTTTCATAAGTGTCTCAGTGCTTTTGAGATGTTTGCTATTAAATGAACAAAAGTTTCTTTGACAAATTAGACATTGACATTTCTAAAGCATGAGTTTTAATAGTGTAAGAAGATTCTCTTTACACTCAAGTACACATTGACGAGGTATAAAATGAAAAGATGTTTTAGGGATGCATCCCAATGAATCATCTCAGAAGCAGATGCGATGGGCACTCAGCATTTACTGGGGACCATTTGGCATCTCAGGGTCTTGACAAAGGTGGCAATCTTTTCGGCATCAGAGTTCAGGCAGCGTAAAAGGGTGTGATAGACAAAAAGACGGGATCTTTTGTTATCCATCTCTAAGTATGGCAGTCCGGACCAGGCAAGGTAGTTCTCATTTTGTTCAGCTTCAAGATGAACCTAATCACCAAACAACAATTCATCATTATTTATATTATTAATATTTGTTGTTCCCCTCGTTCATCCTAAATGCTGAATAAATATGTAGGGGAAAGTTAGGAAAGTAAATCTTTAGCCAAAACCACAGATTGTCATATATGTGGACCAGTGTACCATAAATCTGTTAGTAATCTAAGACTAGGCACAAGATCCATGTGTATATTTTCTGACATGCAGCTGATCCCAAATAAAGAGTAACCTTACAGAAAGAGAAGAGTGGATTTGATCAAAGACACTGGAGGTGTTCTTGTGAGTTCTCACATGACAAGCCTTTGCATGACCTCGGTGTTTCTCCAATATCCCGTTTGTCATCCATTGATTGTTCGTGCACCATTTCCCTTTTCTTGCTTTCAACCAAATCTAATCTCCATACAAGGTGTGAACACAAAGTCATAGAAATGACAAGGACTGCCCTCGATGGATCAAGGTGCAGACAGTCTAGGAATGACTGAAAAGATCTGTGGAAATCTCAGGAGCAGGAAAGATGGTGTCCAAAGGACTGAGGAGCAGTCACTACCTTGTGACCTCCCTGTGTTGCGAGAATGTTGGTGTTGACGACAAGCCCTTAGTCATGAGGCTGTCTGCAAGCTACCATGCCTAAGTTTCATTCCAGAGCAAGGAGATAGGCATTTCATAAGTCATGTGTCAGCACAGACATGACGGCTTTCATGAACGGAAAAAGCAAAGAAGCGTGAGGAGACGGCTCACCTGGCTGAGTAAAGTCTTCACATCTTGCAGATACTGCATGAGCTTCGTGATTTTGTCATGAAGCGCTCGGAGTTTTGTTATGATAGCACTGAAACCAGGCATGGCTTCCACATCGGCCATTTCATCCACTGCACGCTTCACGGGAACTTCCCAGGCAGCTACCATGTGCATTGTCACATTCAGAAGGTCCGTAGGCTAAGAGAAAATAATCGCAGTAAAAGAAGTGGGAACCTGAAAGTTGCACACGATTACTAGTATAGCCTTTATAACTCATGTCATAGACGCCTTTGAGGATTATTTACAGCAATGTTGGCGTTTTGTGACATGTCCAGTTATTCTGTATCTCACCAACTGTCATCTCTCCTTTAACATTTTACAATTACATATATGGCAAGCAGGGGTGCAGAATACTGGTTCCACAAACAAAATCATTAACAGATTATATATGTGGTATATGTACATACAGGATACTTGATTTAAATCATGTTAAGATTGGTTATGGCAAGGAATGTGGTGGGAAAGTTTATAAGTTACAAAATAAAGCTGCTATAAGAGGTCATAGTTTTAGAACATATAAAACATGCACAGTATTTTCCAAGCTGTGTTCGTAAGGAACCAGGAGAAGGTAGCAAAATTCTGTTTGAATGAGTAGGCAGGCGGAGAAGCATCAGTAGACCCAGAGGACTCTGGACAGGCAAGAAGACATTGGTGTGATGGTCAGTAATGTAAACATTTGCCAGTGCAAGAGTTTTAGTAGCACATAAAACACGGCTCCTATTCTTGCACCTATCTATTACATTAATACATTAATACATTAATCATCTAAGTTCAAATCAGTTCAGTATCCTTTGGAATGATAGGTTCAAATTCAGGAACAAAGCAGTAGTTAAGATCGGGAAAACTGCATGGATAATTAATTGACCTAATGCAAGTTACTGTGCATTTCATTGACTTAAATTTGCTAGTCATATAACGTGACTGTCCTTGGCTCACTGGCCCTTTATCCATGTTCCTGCAGGGGTGGCTACCACGTGTGATCTAGTGCTAGGAAAGCCAGTGCGCTGCTCCAGCCCTGCAGTGTAAAACAGCAGGCTGAACGCTCACCTGCATTTCATGGGCTTGGGTTGCATTACTTGGAATGGAAACGGAAGAAATGTGGCAGTCCATGGGGAACTTGAAGATGACCTGCTGACCAATCCCAAAATCTTGATCCTAGAAAGGAGGGAAAATTCAATTAGCTGGACTTAGGGGTTGAATCAGTGAATCCAGGAGCAGAGTTTTAAAGCTTTTTGGTCTGTGTGCTCCTTTAAAAAGTAAGTGCTGCATGGATTCTGTAAGTTTACAGATGAAGTGGACCTCTGGTCCGCTTATTTTCATTAGAGCTGCAGTTTTCATTTTACAACCAACTTTCTTGGGTCCCAAACTAGCCTCACCTTCCTACTTTCTTGTCTTCTCCCCATTCCTAAAAATTGCTATTTAAAAAGGATGTACGGGGAAAAGCAAAACTACAAAACACTGGAAGTATTTTAAAGATTTTCTCCAGGATTTCGGTGCCAAAGTCAGTGCGTATGTCTGTTTGCCCGTTCCACCTTCCTGTTTGTCCAAAACATTCTGAAATTATAACTGTTAGGGATGAAGAATTGGCTCAGCACTTGCAAAGGACCTGGGTTCTGTCTGGCCCCTTCATGGTGGCTCACAAATGTTTCCAGGGAATCTGATGCTCTCTTCTGGCCTCCTTTGGCATTGCATGTATGTGATATACTGAAACATTCATGCATCCCATGTATGTGGTAAACTGAAAACATTCATACACATAAAGTAAAATTAAATTTTTTTAATTAGACTTTTTCTTTGAGTTATCACCAAATCTATACAGTCTGATACCAATTTCATCAAAAATCTGGACGTAACTTATTAATAGTAGTAGGATCACTAATTTAAAAGGATATTTTCAGAAATAATACAAAGTGGAAAAGTTAAAAATACAAATAATATACTCAGTGCTTACATAATAGTGCTAATAGTTACATGTTAATCAATATTTAAATACTGAAATTATATTTTCTTAAAAACATTTAAAATGTCATAAATTTTTTTTAAATCAGCAATATTGTAAAAATTTGCCAAACAAGTATTCTGAGTGAGAGACTATCCCATCATTTAAAGGGACTTAAAGGGATGATTGGCATGTGTTTACTGCACACATGGAGGCCCTGTGATGTCACCCATTGATATGCTAACATATTAATCTGTGATTGCTTTACTGACTTAGATCAAAGACCCTTCAAACAACCTTCATCAAGAGACTACCTAGCTATGGTTCTAAACTAGCTCCCCTTGGAAATTATAAACTCATGCCCTGACATTCTTTAAACATCCTCTCTCAGGTTTTGGGCGTCTCAGAAGAAATTACTATTATTAGAAGTATCATCACCATCATTTGCTTTTCCCCTGCTTACATTGTTTCAGTGACTTTAATTCTTTTCACTTGAAGCCATTTACTGCAATGCAGCTCTCCTTTTTGGGGTACCTATCCTACACTAAGCAAAGCATGCCAGTGGAGACTGGGCCCAGCACCCCGGAACAGGAAGTCCAGGCTCTTCCTCAGCCACACATTTTAGGGCTTTGATTATTTTTTAACAATAAATTATATTAAAGGAAACTCTTTTAAAGTGATTTCCTTTTTACGGATTTGGAGCTTTCATGAAACCGTCCTATTCCTCGTGCTACGTTTTAGTGGCTGAGCTTTCTCCTGCCTCTGAAGGCGATGATTTAGTTTGATTCATCATGCTTTCTTACACGCTGGTGGAGCTCGGTCATTGGCATGAGGCCCTTTTCAGAAAACAAGTGAGGTGCTTACAAACTCCTTGAAGGTTTCTGAAGAGAGGACGTTGATGTTCTCAGAGAGTTCACGTGCTTGATCAAAAAAGTAGCCGAGGGACAACTGGCATTGCCCATTTGCCTCTTCACACAAGGGGACCAAGGCCACATCCTCCCACAGGAGCAGGTTTGACAGCAGCAGCAGCAGAAGTGTCCCTGCTGTGAGGAAAGAAATCAGTCAAGGTGCTCATGTGAAGAGACAGTCACCCAGAGGAGAAAGTTACCAGCCCCCATGCCCTCTGCCGCACAGCTCATGCATCTGAGCCGGGGAGGGAGAACAAACACCTTCCACCCTGAAAATCTAGTCCACACTGTGTCCTTGGTGCCATGATAAGCGAGGTCCAAGGCCCTCTGCCCACCTTGCAAACTTATGACAATGATCTGAGCTGCTTCCATCATCAGTTTGCTTTAAACAGACACGGAACTTTAACACCTCAGTGATTTGTCATTTCAAGAGGACAGAAAGTGCACTGTGTATGTAAAGAAGCATTTTAAACATAAGTGATAAAGCTCTGAGAGGTTTTTCTGGTATAAAACTGGAGTTTTGTGATAGATATCCCAAGCAGTTCAAGTGCTTGCCACTCACACTTAGAGTTTGGATCTTGAGAACTCAAGCAAGTACCTTGTGGACGTGGCAGTCCTGCCAATCACAGCCTTCTCAGAAGACAGAGACACTGCATCCCCAGAGCAAACTGGCTCACAAGACTAGCCATATCAGTGACCTCCGAGTTTGAGAGCCCCTACCCCAGTGAAAACAGTGGCAGAGCCGTGTGGATGGTCCCCACATCGTCCTGAGGCCGCCACAGGGCACACATGCAAACACATTTTCAAAGAAAAAAAGTCCCAAAAGTGGGAATCTCAGGAACTAGATCTCAAAGAACCTTTGATAAAAGTGATTTGAAGTGTCCAAAATAAAAGCAGGGAACTGTTAATTGTGTGTGGAAATAACTAAACTCAAGAAACCACAGTAATAAATGTATCATATTTGTTCAGAGTGCAAGTTACCAAAATAATCTTTTAAATGTACATTAAAATATTGTAAATATTCACATTTTAATTTTTCAAAGAACATGATGTTTCCCTCAATATATTTTTACACTTGATACACACACACACACACACACACACACACACACACACACACACACACACACAGAGACATCTACATACTCCTCCACCAAAACAGGAGTCTGTCTACGCTACTTTGTATTTTACATTTCATAACATCTTCCTACTTCTCAACTAAGATAGTAGTCTGAATAGGCTACTTTTTGTTTTACATTTCATAAATTTCATAGTTGCTATAAATTCATTTTTCTTGATATGAAGATTATAAAGGCAGATAGCACTAACATGATTTTCCTTTTACAAAGTCATGTGATTTTAAACAAATTCTCAAAGCAGTGTAACACACATCTACTAGCATTGTCCACTGTAGGCTGAGAACTAAACATTTCCTTAGGTAGAGTCAAATAACATATTCAAACAGTGACCAGAAACCAGAAAATGTTACCTGCTTCCTTCTAGGAGTTATAACAAATTGTACCCAAGACTCCTGTGGTATCATTCTAGAAAAATTTTCAGTTTCAGCAGCATAAGCATTTGGAGATGGATTATTCTTGTTCTAGAGCTGCCTCGGCCCTGGTGGTTGTTCTAGAACTGCCCTCAGCCCTGGTGGTTGTTCTAGAGCTGCCCTCGGCCCTGGTGGTGGTTCTAGACCTGCCCTTGGCACTGGTGGTTGGGCAATTAGCCACCTCCCTCGTTTCCTTACATTAGATGCTGGTAACACAAATACCTTCTCCTCACGTCAATTAAAACAACACAAGGTCTCTAAAAATTGCTATATTTCTCTAGAACAAGGAAAGTTCATGTTTGAGAACCACTGATCTCAGTCTATTGTTCAGTTACCTTATACAGAAAAGATGAGAAAGTTCATCTATATGCTGTGTAGATGATCACCAAAGAACAGATTCTATCCAAGTGCACCTTCATGTAAAATTATGAATTTGTTGGGCGCAGAGGAGCACAGGTAAAGAACTACTTACAGGAACATGGTTGAGTCAAAGTCAGCTTCATCTCTGAGAAACGCCACCTCAGTACAGGTACCAACGCAGGAAAACTGCCTTGCTAGAGTTCTGCCTTCAATTAACTTTCCACCACCTTTATAGTGCACCAAAGGTATGCAGGGCTGGTGGATGTGAAGAAATAAGAGTTGAAATCCCAAATGAGGGTCCCAAATCCCCTCGGGGAGTGTTAACAGCCTCATTATCATAGCCACAATGCTTATTATATCTTTATTGTTTTCCGTGTAGCTTTCTGTTAGGTTATAAGTTAGCAAAGTCACCTCTATTCTTGATGACTGTTGGTCATGTCACAGCCAGAGGAATGCAGAGATTTCCCAACGGCACCTTTTCCTTGTGGTTTTACATTCTTCTTTCAGTTATTTCTCAAAGCTCCCTGGTCCATGGAAATGGTCACACTTTTTAAAAATTCTTTTACGACCATTAAGTTACCATGACATAGCGACAATCATTTAATTTCAGCCCTTTAATTTGTATGGATTTCTGTCAATAACCACCTACCACTGTAGAGTTTGTCTTTGCCCCTTGCATTGATAACTGGAGTTGTCTGTGAGTATAAACACATTTGGAGAAGACTCGTAGGCACATCACAACAGTATATCAAAATAATAGGAAAAGCCTCACCATTGGAGTTACGACCTCCCCAGCAACCGATTTTGACATGGCTTATATTATAAAACATGGGTTCCCCCATGTTCGCAATTTTCAAAGGTTTTTGTTTTTCTATTATGTGTATGAGTGTTTTGCCTTCATGTATGTAAGTGTACCACATAGATTCCTGGAGCCTGCAGAGCTCAGAAGAGGGCCTCAGATCCCCTGAAACTGGAATTAGACTGTTGTGAGGCATGATGTGGGTGCAGCCCAGGAGCAAGGTTTAAATCTAATCACAAGATGGTTGTGTCGGGAGAGTTGTGCCACTTTAGACAAATGGTTATAATTTTTCTGGCTTGGTGACTGTGTTAGCAAGCAGCTAAGCAGGTCATTTCTTTACACTTTACCCCAGAATCCAGCATAGTGTGTTTTGGCAAATCAAATCAGCAAGCACACTGAGGGTTTACAGCTCAGCCCCAGCCTTCTTTCTCCATATCCTAAAATCAGAGCATATTATACCCTCATCAATAGGCTCTTAACATTTGCTTTTGGCACACACCCAACAACAGTGAATGTATTCCATGGAGAAACTCTGGGACCTTCCTAGTCAAAAACTGTCAGGACAGTCATCAGCTTTTGTTGATAACCGTATGGCTTTTGTGAATCATCGTACATCATGCACAGTACTCAATTTCATATTCTTAACTGCCATGATTAGTGTTCTTCTAGATGGTTTTCCAAACCTGTATGACATGAGATGTTAACAGTATAGAGTATTACCTTTTACAAAAGAGAGACATGACCTTTGAAGGCTCACCGCTGACTTTTCTGGGCAAGTGAAATTACACTGAAATTGAGCAAACAAGGAGATCTTTAAAATTAGCGAGTACTAGTAAATGAAAAGATCCCACTGCTCTTTTTTTTTTCTTTTTTGAGACAGGGTCCCCATAGCCCCAGCTGGAACTCACTGTGTAGACCAGACTGATCTCAATTTCACAATTATCTGCCTGTCTCCATCTCCTGAGTGCCGCGATCAAAAGCCTGTGCCACCACACCCAGCCCTGTTTCTTCTAAAGAACAATGTTTGGCTCAACAGTTTATGTGTGAGTGGCTACTTATTTTTCTCTTGTTAGTACATTATTATTCTGTTTAGGCCATTTTGTTTCCTCATCCTCAAGCATTTCCAAGGGGCCAAGGAGCTGGCAAGGTGTAGATGTCAGACATCCTGCACTGCTTGACCTGGCCAGGTAGCTGGGGGTCATGGGGCTTAGTGTCATCTCCTGCACTCCCCCCCTTCACTGGCTCCAAGTATGTGATTAACTCTAGGCTGCTGCTCCACTAATCACATCTTCCTATTGAAAGGCCTTCATGAATAATGTCTTATCTATAGGTTTTCATATCTACCCAGTGCACACCTTGTACTTACATCTGAGCTGCTCAGGCAAAACTCCAACTGTAGATTACATGATGTGTCCCAGAAGTACATTGACTCCCAGCGTTGCTTCTTAGGAGGAGAGGCTAATGCTGTGTAACCTCTGTAGAAGGGAAGATTCTTTCACTTGGAAGAGGAAATCCTGCTCCATCTCACGTGCCTCTACCACCGCCCATTTTCCATTTCATTTTGAGGTTACCGTGAACTAGTGTTCACTTGATTCCAAATAGTCACTAAAGCCAAAAATACTTCTCCCACATACTAAGACCTTAACGAATTAATAGCTCAATACCGTGTCTCCTTTCATAACTGCATGGTCCTCTCTTGTGGACAACATGGCCATCCTCTTAGGAAGCAGGCTGAAGTGGTTCCCACCCCAGGGTATATCCATCCTTCACCTCAGAAGACAGTGTCAATCACTGGTGCCTCTTCATCCCTTCAGTGAACTGTGACTCACACTTAAGAGTCTTCCTGAATCCCATAAGCATCACATCTGCTCTGTGAAAATTCTCCCTCACATTGCCATGTGACACCATTAACTGTCTTCTCATGTTGCTCCCTGAGTGACTTTTCTGATCCTGTCTTGATTTCTTGGCACTTTACAAACTCAGTTTATATGGTGCTCTGTGAAAATTCTCCCTCATATTGGCATGTGACACCATTAACCGTCTTCTCATGTTGCTCCCTGAGTGACCCCTTTTCTGATCCTGTCTTGATTTCTTGGCACTTTACAAACTCAGTTTATATGCCAATATCAGTCATTCCAACCCACCAAGGTGCTGCCTGCTGTGGCTGTGATCCTATATGAACATGTGTGCTTGGGTTTGGGGTGAATCTGCATGTTCTCATTTGTGGTATGAAAACCCTGTGGACTCCTTTTGCCTCACTTAGTTTAAAGAGCACCTGGAGTAAGTACTGTGTGGTATTAGGAACTCGGAGGACTAGGCTTCTTGTCTTCTTAGGAAATGTTCCTATTTCCATTTGAATTTCAAAAGATTTTTTGAGGATCTTCACTGTAATTTCACAGGTATGGGAAGCAGTAAATTTATGTCCTCTTGTCCTACACAAAAGTCTACCTGCCTGGATTTTTTTCTTATGATCAGAGAGTTCCTCTAAGCTGATGTTTTGTGTGCCATTTGGCACAGTATTCTGCATTTATAACGGGCTTGACGGACGCTGATCTCTGAAGTAGCAATCCTGATGCAGCACAGTAGATTTGCTGTCAGGAATGCCTTACAAAATCGGTCTATGCCAATGAGGAGGGGCTGGAAAATCTTAGCTTGGGCTGAACAAAAATCTACCACCAGCCCAGGTGCAAACGCACTCCACAGAGACCAGAATGTCCTGTGGCTCCTTACAAGATGAACTGTGCAACCTGGGTGGAGATTTAAGTTTCTAAGGATGTATGAAACATATGAAGCTGTCTGTGGAACTGCGTGTAACAGAGCACTATGCGAAAGAGCACCCCCAAAACTCAAAAGCCCACGCTATGTGATATAAAACCTCCATCTTTTGTACATGAGCTCTGACTGAGCTGCTAGTATTTCTTTTGGCCTATTTCTTCCCATTGGAAGTCACAATATCTTCCTTTTCATTTTAGAGAAGTTAAATTAGGGGACTGGAGAGCACCCGGGTTTAGTTCCCAGCTCACAACCACCTGTTACTCCAGTTCCAGAGGATCTGGAACTCTGTGGAAACCTTCACACATGTGGTACATACATACAAGCTAACAAGAACACAGACACATAAAATAAAATAAGCAGACATTTCTTTAAAAGTTACTTAGCATATAGAGTATTAGATTTCATTATGGCACCCTCAAAGAAATTCTATTTTTGTTAGTTTTCCACCCCCTCCTCCTCTCCCAGTGCCCTGGAACCCCCTTTGTGCCACACCTTCCCGCCACGCCCTCCTGCCACCTCCATAGTCTTTTTAACTTTCCTCTCCCTGTGCCCTATTATCCGCACCCCCATTCCTCAACTTGTGTTTTTCTAGTTCCCTGGTCTCCTTTAAGGTATCATAGCCTAAGCCCACACTTCCTCTTATGCACATACTTATATTAAAAGTAGGATCATCATACAGGTTTGAATACGGGGTATGGTACAAAGTGGGGTTCAGGGGCACTGGAAGAGGAGGAGGGGTGGAAAATTAACTGTTTGGGGTCACCTTGCCTAATTTCCATTTTCTTACAAATTTCACTTTTTTACCACTGACTAAAATTCCATTGTGTACATGGACTACAATTTCAAAGAAACTGTCTATTTCTGCTGCAATTATGTCTCTGCTCAATTCTTCACTTAGAAGAACAAGAATCTGGGTCTTTTCCAGAGGTGCTCTACAAATCTTGATGTCCACTGATCTTAATCACATTAATCTATGTGAAGGGCTCCTGCATCTGAAGATTAGAGACACATACTCTTTCCAGCCCACCCTATCTGACTCCAACGGATGAGGGGCTTATAAGGAGGACTCCTCTAGCCCTGTGGCAGGAATAGCTGGTCCATTTGACACTTTTGGTAGAAATAGCCAATATGCAGCACACAGAACTGACCATAAACACTTCCCTAACACTAACTCTTGCCTTAGCCACAAAACACAGCAGGAAATAGAATTCAATCTGCCTCTAGAATTCCTAAACATAACTGACTAATGTATTTGTGACCATTTTTCTGTTGTTACTTTTATTGAATTATTTCATGCTAAAATTATGATTCTTGACATGCCTAATTTACCGTAGGTGAGCATTTTAGGATGGTTTTTGGACTTAAAGTTTTAACCTTAATATATACTATGTTTTTATTTTTATTTCACATTTAACATTTGTTCCTTGAAATTTTTGTTGTCCTTAGTCCTAACCTATATGTGACCTTACTAAAATGCAGATATTAAAATGTTAACTATGAGTCAATGTTAGAAGCTGCACAACCTTTCAAGACAGTGCCACCAGCTGAGGACCAATTATTCAGAAATGA